ACTGAAACTGGGCATCATGCGTCCACCTCATTGGTGAGATAGTCGGAGTACGCTGGTAATACATCGAACGACCTGTTGAGGTCTTGTGTGTTGCTAGGTACGAAGTTGATTGTTGATACTCATGGTTAAAGGCCAAGCCAGACTGAGTCCCTTGCAAGAGGATGTGCGCCTGAGCTCGGGCAGGATTGATCACCCTCCCATGCAATAAGGCAAACATATGAGCATAGGGCGAGTCGGATTGTGTCCTGTACGTGAGTGTATGCTTTTTGAGTGTGTCGTTTTCCTTTAGATGCATGTTCTTTTGTATTTCCGAGGACGGAAATGTTTTAAGGAGGATAGATTGTAACGCCCCGTTCGATTTGTATAGAATTTCTCGAAATATTCTATTTATCATTGTATTTTTTAGTAGCGATGTCGGCTTAAATAATAGGTTGGAGTACTTGATCGTTTTATTTTAAAACGTTTGATGTTCGTCGATTTCAGTTTAATCGCGTAGTTCAGATTTAACCGTTCGATTTATTGAATTTTTTTTTCGGATGTTATCGTATTGGTATTATTATTATTAATTTATATTTAATTGCTAAATTGTCTAAATATTTGATTGCTTATAAATATTAAATATATATTACTCGTCTAAATGATTATTATAACAAATATTATGTGTATATAAATATATTATCCGATTAATTGATTAATCGCGTGCGGATGAACCGATTTTATTTTATTGATGTCGAGCTATTAATGATTGCTAAGTCGACCAAGAGTGTGAGAACCGAGGACAAACAGGCCCGCGCCCCGCGCCTTTGGCCCGAACCCATGACCCGCGACCCATTTTATCTATTTTGGAGAGAAAGATTCTAAACCCTAAGTTATTATGCGTATAAGCTCTTTCTCTTGAGACCCTCACGCAGCTTTTCAAACATATCTGCTCTCTCTCTCTCTCTCTCTCTCTCTCTCACAAAACCAGAAAAGAAAAATCCTCCATCGGGCAAATCAGAGAAATCGATCGCTGCC